ATGGGTGTGTCCGTGGCGTGGCGTCAGAGATCAAGTCTTCGCCATGACACAGGAAGTTGTTGTAACTTCAGTGTACATGCTCACATCTGAACCAAACTTTACGTGCTTGATAACTCTCCCACCCCTCTATGGAGGACCGATCCTGACACAGTCAGAAATAAATACAGAAATAAATAAATGCTCAATAAAAAATAAGCATCCAATTAAATACACAAAAAAATAAAGTAAATAAATAAATGTAGGTAGTAATTAAATTATACAAGGAGACATAAATGTATATATTTTAATTAGTGCCTTTACTTATTCACCTTTGTTATAATTACATTATTTTTTATTCTTCAACTTTATTTATTACTAATTTTTTTAATGTATTTATTTATGTGTGTGTTTTAATATTTTTGTCTGTTTTATTCTTCCTTTGTATTTTTTACCTTATTTATTTTCACCCATGGTATTTATTTCTGCCTGTCTTTTTAAATTTCTGTCTCATTATGCAAATGAGGAGGGGCTGTGTCTCAAGGGGTCATCTTCTCTGCTATTGGTGGACCAGTCAGACAGGAGAGCTCCTACTCTACCTGCAGACATCAACGATCTTGCCCCTCACACAGTCAGATGGCTTCCTTCAGTGCGCTGAGGTGTTTAACAACTCTGAAGACAATACTACCAGCAATGTCTTCCTTCTCTTTTCACGTAGACGCTCCGACAGACAGTGCTTTCAGTTTGCTGCATGCATGGACACAGAACTGCGGTATAGGGAGAAGCACACGGTCAGCTGGCTGCAGCTAAATCTGGAGTGCACTCGTATTCAATTCTGTATGGTAAATTCAGTTTTAACGGAGCAGAGCGAGCTGACAGGCAGAGTTAGAGACTTTTTCTGTCCGTTTCTCTCTTTACAAAGACGCATGTTGCAGTCAGAGTCTTCTCTGACATACAACACAATTTATCAAATTACACATCGGATATACAGTATGAAAATAAGATTGATTGGATTATACTCACAGGAAGTATAAAACCTGTTACATGCGTCTATTAAAAGTAAAGTAACACAAAAATGTCAGGGAAATTACTTTACTTAGATTTAAGTACTGCAGTTGTACATTTGAAATACCTTCCTGCCTTTCTGATAGGAAGCCTTCTTGAGGTGGTATAAAACATTTCTTCTATATTCTGATTTGAGTTGTGGACAACTATGACCACATGAATTAAAAAAATTAAACATTTCACTGCCCAAGTCAGCTATAACACAAGTCTTGTTCATTAGACTACATGCTGTACAGTATTTGTGGACAGATTTTGTCCCAGGATTTATTATGCATTTCTTCTTCTTCGTTGCATGATTTAGAATAATAAGGTGAGAAATGGGTCTGTTCTGAGTTCATCCTGCACTGCAGCAGCTAATAAAGTCCATTTAATCCCAAAACGCTTTTCTTTTAGGCAGGCTGGAGCAGAAAACAACTCACCTTTCTCAAGTTGTACAGTAATGTCACATGTGTATGAAGGTGGATCAAAAAGCTAATCTTAAATGTCAAAGTAGAGAGGAGCCTAGTAGGCCTATTTATTTTCATTCATTACACAATATGAATAAGCTATGCAGACAGTTGTAAAGAAAGAACATCTTTTTCTTCTGTTCTCTACTTGTTATAGTTACACAGTATTAGGGGTGTGGGCTGTATTAAAAGTATCCACTGTTCTCCCATGCTCTAACACACAGTAACGATGAAATGTGTGCTGTTCTCACATTCTTCCTCTGTATGTACACATAAACAACAAGGCAGGGAAATATAAAAGGAATTTATTTTATTGTTTGGGTACATTATTGTTCAGTGTACATGTCACATCTGAAACAAACTTTACGTGCTTGATAACTCTCCCACCCCGCAGACATCTACACGTCAATACCGATTTATATTCATAGCGGCAAGTGCTATGTAGCTCCACATAGGGGACACAGGAAGTGACATATAGTACATTCATGCGGCGTCGGAACGCGTAGGAAATTCACAGCCGCACCGGCAGAGCTCCAGAATGTGCAACTCGGCCGGCTCACGCGCGGACGCGCTTACAAGTGCGAGGGCCCGCCCAACGCTGCTTGCAGCTTTAATTATTATTTTTTTTTTTTTTTTTCTGCAAAGTAGGCCCAAATGACATGGCCTAAACATACTCGAAAACTCACCAAAATTTGCAAACATGTCAGAACCGGTGAAAAATTTCGTATTCTACAAGTTTCGCACATGGGCGTGGCAAAATGACTCGCTAGCGCCACCTAGAAAATTGGAAATGATAGCCCCTCGTTCACGTTCAACCTACATGTACGAAATTTTGGGGACATGTATCGTATCAAGACGCACAAAAAAGCCTCAAGAACCCATAGCCTAAAGTCAACAGGAAGTCGGCCATTTTGAATTTTACGGCCATTTTTGGATGATTTACACACTTCGTACTTTAACGAACTCCTCCTAGGGATTTAGTCGACCGACCTCAAATTTTGCTGTGCCTTCTAAAGGCATTGAGATGAAAAGTTGTGCTATTTGCAAGTTTTCGTCAATGGGCGTGTCCGTGGCGTGGTGTCAAAGATCGCTCATGACACGGAAGTTGTCGTAACTTCAGTGTACATGCTCACATCTGGACCAAACTGTACATGTAGGATGAGAGTCCCGCCCTGAACACATGTACATGCTGACATTCACAGACAGTCATAGCGCCACCTGCTGGCAACAGGAAGTGACTTTTAACGAAGCAGCCCCCGCCGCACGTTTTACCTACGTGCACGAATTTTCTGTGGTACGTGTATCTTGTCCAGACGCACAAAAAAGCCTCTTGGAGCGATGCCCTAAAATCAACAGGAAGTCGGCCATTTTGAATTTTACGTCAAATTTTGGATGATTTACACACTTCGTACTTTAACGAACTCCTCCTAGGGATTTAGTCCGACCGACTTCAAATTTGTGCTGTGCCTTCTAAAGGCATTGAAGATGAAAAGTTGTGCTATTTGCGAGTTTTCGTCAATGGGTGTGTCCGTGGCGTGGCGTCAGAGATCAAGTCTTCGCCATGACACAGGAAGTTGTTGTAACTTCAGTGTACATGCTCACATCTGAACCAAACTTTACGTGCTTGATAACTCTCCCACCCCACTATGGAGGACCGATCCTGACACAGTCAGAAATAAATACAGAAATAAATAAATGCTCAATAAATAAATAAGCATCCAATTAAATACACAAAAAAAAAGTAAATAAATAAATGTAGGTAGTAATTAAATTATACAAGGAGACATAAATGTATATATTTTAATTAGTGCCTTTACTATTCACCTTTGTTATAATTACCTTATTTGTTTATTCAACTTTATTTATTACTAATTTTTTTAATGTATTTATTTATGTGTGTGTTTTAATATTTTTGTCTGTTTTATTCTTCCTTTGTATTTATTTACCTTATTTATTTTCACCCATGGTATTTATTTCTGCCTGTCTTTTTAAATTTTTGTATACATTTCTGCCTCATTATGCAAATGAGGAGGGGCTGTGTCTCAAGGGGTCATCTTCTCTGCTATTGGTGGACCAGTCAGACAGGAGAGCTCCTACTCTGCCTGCAGACATCAACGATCTTGCCCCTCACACAGTCAGATGGCTTCCTTCAGTGCGCTGAGGTGTTTAACAACTCTGAAGACAATACTACCAGCAATGTCTTCCTTGTCTTTTCACGTAGACGCTCCGACAGACAGTGCTTTCAGTTTGCTGCATGCATGGACACAGAACTGCGGTATAGGGAGAAGCACACGGTCAGCTGGCTGCAGCTAAATCTGGAGTGCACTCGTATTCAATTCTGTATGGTAAATTCAGTTTTAACGGAGCAGAGCGAGCTGACAGGCAGAGTTAGAGACTTTTTCTGTCTGTTTCTCTCTTTACAAAGACGCATGTTGCAGTCAGAGTCTTCTCTGAAGAGGGCAATGAAGTCTCAGTAGTACCCGATGCGAGCACCACATACAACACAATTTATTAAATTACACAACGGATATACAGTATGAAAATAAGATTGATTGGATTATACTCACAGGAAGTATAAAACTTGTTACATGCGTAACACAGTAATGTCAGGGAAATTACTTTACTTAGATTTAAGTACTGCAGTTGTACATTTGAAATACCTTCCTACCTTTCTGATAGGAAGCCTTCTTGAGGTGGTATAAAACATTTCTTCTTATATTCTGATTTGAGTTGTGGACAACTATGACCACATGAATTAAAAAATTAAACATTTCACTGCCCAAGTCAGCTATAACACAAGTCTTGTTCATTAGACTACATGCTGTACAGTATTTGTGGACAGATTTTGTCCCAGGATTTATTATGCATTTCTTCTTCTTCGTTGCATGGTTTAGAATAATAAGGTGAGAAATGGGTCTATTCTGAGTTCATCCTGCACTGCAGCAGCTAAAAAAGTCCATTTAATCCCAAAACGCTTTTCTTTTAGGCAGGCTGGAGCAGAAACACAGTAACGATGAAATGTGTGCTGTTCTCACATTCTTCCTCTGTATGTACACATAAACAACAAGGCAGGGAAATATAAAAGGAATTTATTTTATTGTTTGGGTACATTATTGTTCAGTGTACATGGTCACATCTGAAACAAACTTTACGTGCTTGATAACTCTCCCACCCCGCAGACATCTACACGCCAATACCGATTTATATTCATAGCGGCAAGTGCTATGTAGCTCCACATAGGGGACACAGGAAGTGACATATAGCACCTTCATGCGGCGTCGGAACCGCGTAACAAATTCACAGCCGCACCGGCTGAGCTCCAGAATATGCAACTCGGCCGGTTCACGCGCGGACGCGCTACAAGTGCGAGGGCCCGCCCAACGCTGCTTGCAGCTTTAATTATCATTATTATTATTATTATTATTATTATTAATTATTATTATTATTATTATTATCATTTTTGAGACAGACTCATTAGAAGCCCTTTTCTCACAAATATCTAGCTGGACTTACCTGAATAAAAGCACAAAGCCGTAACTCTCCACCAACATTCCAATGATTGGCCAACGGCACAACACCAGAGACACGCCTCCAAGAAAGAAGAAAGAACCTCGAAACTTGTTTCTTTGGAAGAAGAATTGGGCTGTCCTTCTGAAGCCGATGATGAATGTCAAACCCAACAGAAACAGGATCTGCAAAAAGGGCAATCAAACAAAACATTCTCACACTATGCCTACCTGTAAGCCACATGACCAAAGATTAAAGCTGCTCTAACGAATACTTTACTTTGATCAACGGCCTATGTGTAATGTGAAAGACGTCATTCATAATGACCATGAAAATTGTCTCAATGGTTGTGAGTGTTGATATGAGACAAGAGAAGGTGTGATGGTGACACAGAGCAGATGTGTGTTTACTCACATTCCCAAAGGCCAACAAGACAGAGTCAAAGTACAGCAGCACACCAATAAGCAGGAAAAATAAACCGAATCCGACCAGACCAGTACCCATCTCTGGAAGATACACAGTAAAACAATTACAGATCAATTGGTCAATATAAACAGTTCAAATACATTTTCTATATAATAATGCCTTTTTCAGTCAATCAATGTGCCTTTTAGCCACAGGGATTAAAACATGTCTCACACTTTGATATCAGAGGGTGTAGAGTTGTCCTAACTTGAAGCTAGCAAAAAGGACTTGCTAGTTACTTGTTAGTAAATACATCCAGTGTTGTCTTTGGTCTTTTCATTGGATTGGATTAGATGTAATGTTTTTGCAATCCATAGTCTATCTACTGAGGAAACCATAAGACAGTGTCATTCATTATATTTCCCAGTAAAACAGCACTTCAATCAACTCCAGGATTTTAAACATGCTGGGGTCTAGTGTTTTAACTGTACTGAACCTGCTTAACTGAATACAGACGACATCAGTGTCTCATTAATTATAGAAACATTCTCTGAAGAAATCTGTAGAGAAAGGCCTGCTATTGGCTGATTCAGTGCTTAAGGGAGGGCATTGTGGGTAGACATAGTTGTAATCCTTTTTTACAACACTTAGGAATCAATACAGTCAGTACTGAAGAATCAGGACAAGTGTAAAGAACATTGATTAGAACATACCAGCACTTATTTTTCTCTATTCTTTTTAATATTCTTATATAACTTGCATTGTCTATTCCATATTTATATATTTCTACATTTATTTATGTCAACTGTATGTTTGTCTACGTGTAGCACCTTATCACCAAAGCAAATTCCTCGTATGTGTAAAACAGTACTTGGCAGTAAAGCTCCTTCTGATTCTGATTCTCTTTCATTCAACACAGTTCCTCTGTGGCACTCTTTAATAACTGGTTAAACTCAAAGTGAATTTACCACATGAAATGCTACCCTTGCTTATTAATCTTGTAGTCTTTACCTTAAAATGCATTCCTTCCACAAGCACATCCATGTATTGTGAAGTCAGGCCACTGATCTGTGCTCCATGACTTAGACTGACACCTCAGAAGAGAGCAACTGTGGGAAGACTTACTCTGGAACTCTGTGATGGCCGCCATGGTAATCCCTGATGTCCTCCTCCTCTCTCACCGCTGTGACTGTCAGAAAAAAATGAGTCCTTTAACCTTGTGATTTGACGTTGTCAGTGTGTGAGGTAAACATTAACCAGAGCAGGCGTACACTGAAACCCTGTAATGTACACACGGGATTCTCAGGTAAACGGTTAATTACCTGAGTGATGTCATTAGCCATTCAAAAACATTGAATACTTATCCCTTATCTGGTGTTAGGGCTCCTGAACATGTCAAGAGTCTTTAAACCTTTGGTCTGCTGGGTAGTGTTAATTTTGTCAGCCATTTTAAAATTTAGTCTTAGTCTTTGTCTTAGTCCTGTGTCAAATGTCCTTGTCAGTTTTTGTCCTAGTTAGTCAACTGTATACTATTTTATTTAATCAAGTTTTAGTTGACTAAAAGTCTGGGTGTTTTAGTCTGATGTTAGTCAAAAGAAATTCAAAAGTACTTTAATGTAGCTTTAGTCATTTCAGTCATTTTAGTTTATTCTGTCCTATTAGTATTATTAGGTTCCGAGCACGACCGTGCGAGGTCCCTATTGAATTTGTAAAGATTATTAGGGCCCGAGCACGATCGTGCGAGGTCCCTATTGAATTTGTAAAGATTATTTATATATATAATGGGCGTGTCTGTGGCGTCCATGATTCGCCATGAAACAGGAAGTTGTTGTAACTTCAGTGTACATGCTCACATCTGGACCAAACTGTACATGTAGGATGAGAGTCCCGCCCTGAACACATGTACATGCCGACATTCACCCACAGTCATAGCGCCACCTGCTGGCAACAGGAAGTGACCTTTAACTAAGCAGCCCCCGCCACACGTTTCACCTACGTGCACGAATTTTCTGTGGTGCGTGTATCTTGTCCAGACGCACAAAAAAGTATCTTGGAGCCATAGCCTAAACCCAACAGGAAGTCAGCCATTTTGAATTTTACGGCCATTTTTGGATGATTTACACACTCCGTACTTTAACGAACTGCTCCTAGGGATTTAGTCCGACCGACTTGAAATTTCGGCTGTGCCTTCTAAAGGCATTGAAGATGAAAAGTTATGCTATTTGCGAGTTTTCGTCAATGGGCGTGTCCGTGGCGTGGCGTCAAAGATCAAGTCTTCGCCATGACACAGGAAGTTGTCGTAACTTCAGTGTATATGCTCACATCTGGACCAAAGTGTACATGTAGGATGAGAGTCCCGCCCTGAACACATGTACATGCTGACATTCACCCACAGTCATAGCAACACCTGCTGGCAACAGGAAGTGACATTTAACGAAGCAGCCCCCGCCTCACGTTTCACCTACATGCACGAATTTTCTGCGGTACGTGTATCTTGTCCAGATGCACAAAAAAGTCTCTTGAAGCCATAGCCTAAACCCAACAGGAAGTCGGCCATTTTGAATTTTACGGCCATTTTTGGATGATTTACACACTTCGTACTTTAACGAACTCCTCCTAGTGATTTAGTCCGACCGACCTCAAATTTCTGCTGTGCCTTCTAAAGGCATTGAAGATGAAAAGTTGTGCTATTTGCAAGTTTTCGTCAATGGGCGTGTCCGTGGCGTGGCGTCAAAGATCAAGTCTTCGCCATGACACAGGAAGTTGTCGTAACTTCAGTGTATATGCTCACATCTGGACCAAAGTGTACATGTAGGATGAGAGTCCCGCCCTGAACACATGTACATGCTGACATTCACCCACAGTCATAGCGCCACCTGCTGGCAACAGGAAGTGACATTTAACGAAGCAGCCCCCGCCTCACGTTTCACCTACGTGCACGAATTTTCTGCAGTACGTGTATCTTGTCCAGATGCACAAAAAAGTCTCTTGAAGCCATAGCCTAAACCCAACAGGAAGTCGGCCATTTTGAATTTTACGGCCATTTTTGGATGATTTACACACTTCGTACTTTAACGAACTCCTCCTAGGGATTTAGTCCGACCGAGCTCAAATTTCTGCTGTGCCTTCTAAAGGCATTGAAGATGAAAAGTTGTGCTATTTGCAAGTTTTCGTCAGTGGGCGTGTCCGTGGCGTGGCGTCAAAGATCAACTCTTCGCCATGACACAGGAAGTTGTCGTAACTTCAGTGTATATGCTCACATCTGGACCAAACTGTACGTGTAGGATGAGAGTCCCGCCCTGAACACATGTACATGCCGACATTCACCCAGAGTCATAGCGCCACCTGCTGGCAACAGGAAGTGACTTTTAATGAAGCAGCCCCCGCCGCACGTTTCACCTACATGCACAAATTTTCTGTGGTACGTGTATCTTGTCCAGACGCACAACAAAGTCTCTTGGAGCGATGCCCTAAAACCTACAGGAAGTCGGCCATTTTGAATGTTACGTCAAATTTTGGATGATTTACACACTTCGTACTTTAACGAACTCCTCCTAGGGATTTAGTCCGACCGACTTCAAATTTCTGCTGTGCCTTCTAAAGGCATTGAAGATGAAAAGTTGTGCTATTTGCGAGTTTTCGTCAATGGGTGTGTCCGGCGCGGCGTCAAAGATCAACTCTTCCCCATGACACAGGAAGTTGTTGTAACTTCAGTGTACATGCTCACATCTGAACCAAACTTTACGTGCTTGATAACTGTCCCACCCCGAAGACATCTACACGCCAATACCGATTTATATTCATAGCAGCAAGTGCTATGTAGCTCCACATAGGGGACACAGGAAGTGACATATAACACCTTCATGCGGCGTCAGAACCGCGTAGGAAATTCACAGCCGCACCGGCAGAGCTCCAGAATATGCAACTCGGCCGGCTCAGGCGCGGACGCGCTACAAGTGCGAGGGCCCGCCCAACGCTGCTTGCAGCTTTAATTTTTTAAATGTATTTATTTATGTGTGTGTTTTAATATTTTTGTCTGTTTTATTCTTCCTTTGTATTTATTTACCTTATTTATTTTCTTTCTCTTTTATTTCTTCCTGTCCTTTTTAAATTTCTGTATGCATTTCTGCCTCATTATGCAAATGAGGAGGGGCTGTGTCTCAAGGGGTCATCTTCTCTGCTATTGGTGGACCAGTCAGACAGGAGAGCTCTAGGCCTACTCTGCCTGCAGACATCAACGATCTTGCCCCTCACACAATCAGATGGCTTCCTTCAGTGCGCTGAGGTGTTTAACAACTCTGAAGACACTACCAGCCATGTCTTCCTTCTCTTTTCACGTAGACGCTCCGACAGACAGTGCTTTCAGTTTGCTGCATGCATGGACACAGAACTGTGGTATAGGGAGAAGCACACTGTCAGCTAGCTACAGCTAAATCTGGAGTGCACTCGTATTCAATTCTGTATGGTAAATTCAGTTTTAACGGAGCAGAGCGAGCTGACAGGCAGAGTTAGAGACTTTTTCTGTCTTTTTCTCTATTTACAAAGACGCATGTTGCAGTCAGAGTCTTCTCTGAGATGCGATGCGAGCACGACATACAAACACAATTTATCAAATTACACAACGGATATACAGTATGAAAATAAGATTGATTGGATTATACTCACAGGAAGTATAAAACCTGTTACATGCGTCTATTAAAAGTAAAGTAACACAAAAATGTCAGGGAAATTACTTTACTTAGATTTAAGTACTGCAGTTGTACATTTGAAATACCTTCCTACCTTTCTGATAGGAAGCCTTCTTGAGGTGGTATAAAACATTTCTTCTTATATTCTGATTTGAGTTGTGGACAACTATGACCACATGAATTAAAAAAACATTTCACTGCCCAAGTCAGCTATAACACAAGTCTTGTTCATCAGACTACATGCTGTACAGTATTTGTGGACAGATTTTGTCCCAGGATTTCATTTCTTCTTCTTCGTTGCATGATTTAGAATAATAAGGTGAGAAATGGGTCTATTCTGAGTTCATCCTGCACTGCAGCAGCTAATAAAGTCCATTTAATCCCCAAAACGCTTTTCTTTTAGGCAGGCTGGAGCAGAAAACAACTCACCTTTCTCAAGTTGTACAGTAATGTCACATGTGTATGAAGGTGGATCAAACAAGCTAATCTTAAATGTCAAAGTAGAGAGGAGCCTAGTAGGCCTATTTATTTTCATTCATTACACAAAATATGAATAAGCTATGCAGACAGTTGTAAAGAAAGAACATCTTTTTCTTCTGTTCTCTACTTGTTATAGTTACACAGTATTAGGGGTGTGGGCTGTATTAAAAGTATCCACTGTTCTCCCATGCTCTAACACACAGTAACGATGAAATGTGTGCTGTTCTCACATTCTTCCTCTGTATGTACACATAAACAACAAGGCAGGGAAATATAAAAGGAATTTATTTTATTGTTTGGGTACATTATTGTTCAGTGTACATGCTCACATCTGAACCAAACTTTACGTGCTTGATAACTCTCCCACCCCGCAGACATCTACACACCAATACCGATTTATATTCATAGCGGCAAGTGCTATGTAGCTCCACATAGGGGACACAGGAAGTGACATATAACACCTTCATGCGGCAACCGCGTAGCAAATTCACAGCCGAACTGGCAGAGCTCCAGAATGTGCAACGCGGCCAGCTCACACCCGACACGCTACAAGTGCGAGGGCCTGCCCAACGCTGCTTGCAGCTTTAATATTATTATTGTTATTATAATCATTAACATTACGATTGTTATCATTAACACTACTATAAATATCTATACCATTTTTCATTTAGTCTATAGCAACATCACCTTTACTGTCTGTACCTCTGTGTGTGTATATTGTGTAGGCTGCCTCCCGCCCCTTTCTCTCTTCCATCCCTCTCTTTTTCTCTCTGTTCCTCTCTTGCACTCTCCCTCTCTCTCTGATTCTCTCTCTCTCTCGCTCTCTCTCTCACCCTCTCTCTCTCCTTCACCCCCAACCGGTCGAGGCAGATGGCCGCCCACACTGAGCCATGGTTCTGCTCGAGGTTTCTGCCTCTTTAAAGGAAGTTTTTCCTTGCCTCTGTCGCCTAGTGCTTGCTCTTGGTGGGAACTGTTGGGCTTCTGTAAATAGCATCATAGAGTATGGTCTAGACCTGCTCTTTTGAATTG